TGACCGGTGCTAGAATTAAATTTTACGTCTGAGATGGTATACGAAATATTTGTGGAAGCCGGTGTAATAATGGACGATCCCATGTCACGGGACCTGATCAAACGATTTGAACTATGTAAATTTACAGTGTGAAACTGTGAAAATTAATGAAATCAGATCAGAACCACGTTTATTTAACATATAGCACAATTTAATTTTCACTTGATTCTTTCACTTTCCAGTACACAAATCAGAAAGTAATTGACATAACGAGTTAAAACTTTGTAGGAATAATATCTTTAGTGTGTGCCATCATATGAGCAAAAATTATTCAATTTCAACAAAAGCTGTATCTATAGTTGACTTTTGGACGAAATATTGATCGATGTGTGAGATATACAATGGCAATTCTGACATAACCTTTTTCTGACAATCGTTGTCCTGTGTGTAAAAAATATTTTTAATCGAGTAAATACTTCCTTGAGCCCTAATATAAAGATGTTCGATCTTCCAGGTGACTTTATGCTGAATATATCGGCTAATGTTTCAGTTATCTCAAAATTATGTTCAAATTAAACATAGGGAACATTTTTTTAAATGTGGCATGATAGTAGTTAATAGATAAAAACGGGTCGTTATTACCCCACCTTTTATATCCCTTACTACGTATAATGATTTTCGTTTTTCTCAGCTTAGCTCACTTAGCTCTTTCTTACTTGTCAAGGGTTAATATTAAATATAATGTAGTCCTAAATTTATGAATTTTAATGAATGCACGTTGATACTTCTACAGATCCAAATTAAATACATACGTAGATTGCATGTGGAAGTGGTATTCGATGTTGTTGTTTTATTGTGTATGTTTTGAAGATTCAAGCGACAAACAGCTGTTTAGTTCACCAATATATAATTATTATCATAGTTACACAAACACACACTACGTTAATTATATACCAGTTAAAAGTTGCTTCTAAGAAAAGTATCCCACAGTCATCGAGATAAAAGTTGTAATAAAGTTAATTATCATTATAGACGTACAAAGTATATACTATATATGTGTGCATGCATAACCTAATAAGTTTAGCGGCATTGCCTATATAAACAGCTGCTTATTCATAGATAATGCTGAGAGCGAGCAAAAGCTCAACTAAATAAAGCGCAGCTTTGACCTAACACTAGCAGCAGTTAAGATCAGAGATCTTCACAGCTTATTCACAACTAGAAGCTCAACGGTTGCGGACGATAACAACAATACACGAAAACAAGGGTAAAATGTTGAAGTTAAAGCATTTATTGTTAGTGAGTCTGTTTTATATGGCATGCGCTGCGGATTCCGATATAACAAAATTTATGAAGCACCTGGAAGTAATACCTGACGTAATTGCAGAAGGACCAAAGGACTTTTTAAAAGTAAGCCTTTAGTAAGCTATATTAATTCGATGAAGTTGAATACGACTATTTTTTGGTAGGTGAGTTACGATAGCGGCGTAGTGGCCGATAAGGGCGTAGAGTTGACTCCGACACAAGTAAAGCACCAACCGAAAGTGGAATGGAATCCTGAATCGACTGATACCTTCTACACACTGATTATGACCGATCCGGATGCACCTAGTCGTGCTAAACCTGAGATGCGCGAATGGCATCATTGGTTGGTGGTCAATATTCCCGGCAATAGTTTGTACAAGGGTGAGGTACTGTCCGCATACATTGGTTCTGGCGCACCGAAGGACACAGGATTGCATCGTTACGTATTCTTGCTCTACAAACAACCAAAGAAACTGGAATTCACTGAAACTCATCTCACGGATACAAGTGCTAAGGGTCGTGAGAATTTTTCAACAAAGAATTTCGCTGAGAAATATGGACTAGGCGTACCAGTTGCTGGAAACTTCTTCCAAGCTCAATATGATGATTATGTACCGGAACTCTATAAGCAATTAGGATTTTAAAGTTGCAATTGAAATGGCCCAAGTCGATTAAAAAAAGACTTGTTTAGAAATAGTTTTTTTTTTCTTCTATCGGTTCGAGCCGTTAAGCCAGTTCCACACAAAAGCATACAAATCTTATTTTATGCACATACGCGAACACTTATATAAACAAATATGAACGTATGCGTCTAGGTTTGTATTAAGCTGCATATTCACATTGATTAACAGTTTCCAAAGTAATGCATAAAATATAATTTGAATATTTATGAAAGTAAGAAGTGATGAAAGTGAATACACGGATTGGCTGGTTGGAAACAAAGTGCTGGCTTAATAGACAAGGTCAGCGGTGGTCTGCTTAGTAGACGACTATTAATGAGCAAACCCAAGAGTTATTTAAGCGGCTATTAATTGCGAAACTGGTTCATAACGTAACAGATCCTATACATAAGCCTATATATGACATATATACATATATTTTTAGTATTCACATATTATTTTTAATTCACTATCTCCAGAAAAAATAAAAACAATTTAAAAAGCGCATAATTGCATTTAACCTAATAGGGAGTTATATAAAGTATACAGGTAAATCTAGATGAGTTTTATTTGATGTAATTATACGCTATAATTCATCACTTATAAAGATAAAATTGTTAAATTTCGATGACTTCGCGACCTTCATTGTACAAAGAAAAAACGACAGACAAAATTTTTGTGCCGTAATCAAACTGTTGCCAAACACCCACCAATTGTCATATGGAGATCAAACGTCAAAATTGGAGCATTGGGAGCCGTGGAAGGTGTCCCGTCTCAATCGCACACTCTTCAAAATTTCTGAAGTTGGCATCTTAAAAGTAGGAGCTCTGTAGTAACTTCTACAATGTTACCAAGTTCTTTTTCGTTTAGAAGAAGATCCATGAAGACTACCCGAAATTACTTTTGTTGTATGCCCCGTATTGCTAGTGTTCTAAGACCTGTTGCCATGAATGTAAGGTCCTCAGCTACATTATAAATCAACTATTTTGCCACCTCTACTCGACGTTCATCTAGGGTTAATTAACTCAAACAACCTTTGAAGGAGCTGAATGGTCTAATGGAGATTCGGTTAATTTCTGTCCCCTGCTCATCTGCATTTTCGCTTTCTTCTATTCCTATATGACTGAAGTCGAGTTATTGTCTAACGCAGTGAGACTTAGAACAAACTCTCCGAATTGTTTGAATTGCCGCTGGCTGTTTGAATAAAGGTTTTCAAATCTGCTTCTTAGAGCAGAAGCCCACTTGCCACCTTCTGTAATGCCACCGATTTCTTTCTGAAAAACGTAATTGTAGTCATTTAGTTTCTCAATATGGATTACTACAAAGAAGCCTTCACTTTAATCCGTTGACGAATATGTAACGCACTATATATAGATATTCGACAGATCTTGAGAGCGTAACAGTTCTATCTCTTAATGAAGAGTTGAATTGCGAAATTTTTGTTCTCCTAAAATACAGATTCCTGATTTTACCAGATTTTAAGTTGGGCCTTGCCCAGTTGGCGGATACATCTAGAGCTCTCCTATGAACCGGGATGACGAATTAACATTCATCGCTCAACAAACAAAGAAGTCGTACTGAAGCCTAAATGGTTGGGTGGGCTTTATCCTATAATACGATGGCCCCAGATCCTTTCCATAATTTTTAGTAAGCAAGTTAAACTAATCGGTCTAAAAGATTTTGTCTAGTAGTTTTCTTTTCTCAGTAGCCGTTTACTCTAAACCGGTATAAGCATTATATATAATAGCAACGCAGTGAGAAAGTAGATCTGTACCATTCTGCAAAAGTGCGGGAAATATATAATCCGGACTATTAAAAGATTTGGTAACCATTTCTTGGGTGAACACAATACCATCATGACTGAGGAGTATGACAGGTTCGAAACATCTCGCATCAGGCTTTGGGAAATAAGTATCTAGTAACTTTGAGTCAGGTCCTTCCTAAAACTCTTGATAAAGGGCCTTTATTCATTGTATTATTTTCTTAGAATTGTTGTGCTCGAACAGATCCATTTTTTTGCATACTATACAAATGCTTTGTTTTGCATACTACTATGCTTTCTGCTGTGAAATAAACTGCCACTTCGCTTCAGTTGACGATGGAGTGCCCGGGTTTTCTCTGGTAGACGTTTTAATCAGTAGCAGTTCCAATCGCCTTCTTGCCCGCGCCATTCCATGGTCAAAGTCAGAGACAACACTCCGACCTGGCGGTGACAAATCCTAAACTTGACGGTGACAAGGGAGCCCTACCAAAAAAAGGCTGGAAAAATGTGTACAGAGTGTGGGTCTATACCCATAACTATGATGAACTCCATGATCTGTTTGGGCAGCATCTTTAAAATTGTCTTCGTGGACCTTACAGCCAGTCTCCACCATGGAGGGAATAACTGTAACGGCTTTCACGGAGTTGATGGCCAAACGGCAATTTCCGAAGCGAGCCATGTCGATTTTGAACACGGACCTGATAAAGGACGACAATACGATTAGATTCATTAGACCAAGCAGGGTCTGTTGCACCGCCGACAGCTCCCTTGGGATCTAATGGCTCAAGCAAATGTTGTACATCCTGTTCTGATGTGAAATATATTTCAGCATATACATGGTCTGGACTATAAGGCGGTTGAGGCAAAACTTCGCAACCGCTTTTCTCCAAATAGTTTTTAACCGGTCTTGCAACATTAGGCTGAGCGTTATCATAGACTATCCACTTCTCGAATGGCTGACCCTAAGCTTTTGTCCACCCAGATTTGAGTTTAAGCGATCGCTGTTTGTGAGAGTAGAATAAAACCAAAGTGTACGCCATAAAATCTTTGATCAACATTCGAGACGGAATCATCACTTTACTACCGGAGATACTTGAAAAAGTATTGGAAAAAACATAAAAAATATGAACGAAATAAATCTTGTTGTAATATAACAATCTGAACTTATCCATCTACATCCCAATATGATAAATGACGTAATCTTTATTATGTGAGCCTTGGGTGCACCCTATATATACACATAGACTTCAGATTCAATCATTGAAATATAGAAAAATAAAAATAAAATCGAAAACTTTTACATCAAACTATCAATCATAAATAATATTTTGATCTTTCCAAAGGATTTATGTTTATCAAATGTAAGATTTGGTATGGTAACTAAAGACCGGCCCCTGACATATTTTTATTAAAAAAAATTTCAGAACGCAATGGCTGCAGCTTCAACATCTGATAGTACGGACGTCGTTTTCAAGCAACACAAAGTTGTGCCTGACGTCATACCAGTGGCGCCGAAACAATTTCTAAAGGTTGAAAAATCAATTGCATATGGCTTTACAAATAAGTAACGAATTTTCTTAGGTCAGTTACAAAAATGTATTGGTTGAAAATGGAAAGGAGCTAACACCGACACAGGTGGCAGCACAGCCCTCGATCGAATGGAATGCCGAAAACAATGTTTTTTATACGATAATTATGACAGATCCGGATGCACCAAGCCGCAGCAATCCAAAATTTCGTGAATTTAATCACTGGTTGGTTACCAATATACCCGGAACGGACATTAGTAGTGGTGATGTCTTAACCGCGTATGTAGGGTCTGGCCCACCACAGGGGACTGGTCTCCATCGATATGTTTTTTTAGTATACAAACAACCAGTCAAAATACGCTTTCAAGAAACTCGAGTACCAAAAAATAGTAGCCAAAATAGACCGAACTTTAGTACAGCGAAATTTGCGAAAAAATATAAATTGGGTGATCCCATTGCTGGAAATTTCTTTCAGGCGCAGTGGGACGAATATGTTCCAACTGTACATAGGCAATTATCTGGAAAGAAGTAAACGTATGTGTAGTTTGAATGCCTCTTTAATACAATAAAAATTTGCAAGTGCATAATGGTTTTAAAACCCGCTTCCCAGTAGTTGCATTCGCGTACTTTTTAGTGATCATTGGGGGAGTGTCTAACCAATCACAAATTAGCCGCCTTCGATTCGTCGTTTTCCTAATCTCTGAACGCTGCATCAAAAATTTTATAGGAATGCAAAAAAGTTGGTTTAAATATAAAATTTTTATAAAGTTATAAGTCATTGAATCCAGATTTAGGTACACAAATTCCGCACAACTTTCTCATTGAAAGTTTTTCTATAAAACCAACTGTTCACTAAATGTTTTTCAAAAATATGTGCAAAGCGTGAAAAATCATAATGGTAGTACTTGAGGATAATATTAAGGGCCAAAATTTTCAAGGGAATTTTCAACATAAGAACAATATTTTCGTGAGTTCATGAAGAAATAAAAAAGTTTTACATAAAACACTCTAATATCTATGTATGTTATTTGTTTCATATAATATATATACTGTCTCTTATACACATCTAGATGTGTATAAGAGACAGATACTATAGTGGTCTCATATTGGTCGTTCCGACAAATGTGCGGCTTCTTCACATACATATATATGTATATACTACTACATATATATGTATATACTAGGTTGTCAAAAAAGTCTTGCGGTATTTTCACTAGATGGCGCTGAGAGCGCGTAGTTCTAGTTTTATTCGTCGCATAGGGTCACGCTATACCTTTTTAGAAACCTCATTTCACACGCTAACACGTGTTTGATTAAGCAAAATAAAGAGAAAATACGGCATATTTTAAAGTACTACTATGATGCAAAAATGCATCTCAAGCCGCCAGTATTATTATTATTGTCAATTTATTTAGTAAGTAAATTACAAAAATAAACTTAATATTAAGGTGCTAGTATAGAAAGCGCCATCGACCGGTGGTATGTTAGAGGTATGATTTAACTACGTATATTTCAAACATCGTGCAGAATGTTACTGTGTCTTAAGATATTATTAAATTATATACATTTTGTTTAGTAAATGTTTTAAGTAGTTCTGGGATTCGGGGTAAGTTCAGCAGCTTCTTGTACTTGTTTTATTTTGTGACATTCTTCGGTTATATGTTGTATGCACATTGTTTCCAGATTACACAGCTTGCATAGGGGCGCACTGGTTTCCTGCATTAAGTGTTGGTGTATAAGTAGAGTGTGTGCGAGTCTCATGTGCGGAACACAATGCTCGCGACAGTCTGCAGCAGCACGACAGTGAACTGAAAATGGCGTTGTGAATCCTACTACATGAACGTTTGTGAGAGGGCAGCAACATAACAATGGCCGGCATGTACACAAAACAACGCAGTTGTCCATTTTGCATGTACACACTTTCGTTGTGGCCATACTAATACCTTGCACTTCAATGAAATTTTAATATTTTGTTCGAAGTGAAATTTTTAATCAAAAAATAAATAAATAGGTAAATTTATTTGTTTTAAATTATTAACGGTTATTATAAATGATGTAATTTTATGCTTTTGTGTGCTGTGAATAATTTTACATTTTACATATTAGTGGCATCACCACTCTACCTCATCTCTCTATCTTCCATTCTACTGTCGTCCTACTGTCGTTGGCAAATATAGGATCAAATTGAAGTTAGCGAGAACGACAACTGTCGGCCTGCAGTCGTGTAGTCGTGCAGCTGTCAAAATAGGTCCGTCCATAAGAACGTGTGTRTTTTAATATTTGACAGATGTCGTTTGCAGTCTGTCGGGAGCATTATATTCCACACATCAGGCGAGTGAATTTCTGTATGTATATCCTTTTGCAGTCGTTGGGGAATAAGGTTGGTTTTCCTATGGTGTTAAATTGTTTGTAATGGTTTGTGTAGTTTTGCCATGCTTCTATACGTTTGTTCTGTAAATGGTGCTTAAAGAAGCGATTTATGTCGGATTTAGTTGTTGTTTGTTGTTTTGAATTGGAGCTGCTTTGTCGGCTTCTTCGTTGCCTTTGACTCCTATATGTCCGGGAACCCACATTATTTTTATTTTGTTTTGGCATTGGATCAGAAAATCGCGGATTTCTGCTATTGTATTGTTGCGGTGTAGGGTGTTGCATATTGCTTGAATGGTGGACAGCGAGTCTGTGCAGATGAAGTGTTTGCCCTTTTGGGTTTTAAATATTTTTATGGCTCATAATATGGCTTCCGATTCCGCTGTGAATGTGGAGCAATATTCCTCGAGTCTTGAGAATCGTAGCGTTTGGTGGTTATTGTCTATTATTGCATAACTGACTGCTGTGTTTGTTTTTACTCCGTCGGTGTAGTGAAATTTCCAGTTTTTATATTCATTTTGTATATTCACGAATAACTGTTGCACTTGTATTGTATTTTTTTTTGTTGGTTAGATTTTTAATTTTACTTGCTTTACTGACTTGGTTTTAGGGTGCGTATAATAGTTTTTGTTGTAGTGTAATTCCTTTGATTGTCGCGAAGTTTATGATTTTGTGGACGGCAGTTGGAGACTTGTTTGTTTTTGTATTTTTTTGAAGTTGTAGAAGTGAGGTCGTTCCATCACGTTGATTATTTTGTAGTATAGCTGTGACTTCTTCAATTCGTTGCTCTAAGCTAGGTATACCAGCTAACCACCAGTACCAGTACCAGTAAGTATGTTAGTGATAGGCGTGGACGTAAATGCTCCTATGCAATAGCGAGCTGCCGCATGGTATGTTCCTTTTAGTTTGTTTAGATTTGTTTTAGCAGTACGTCCGTACATAGCTAGGCCGTAATCTAACTTTGGCAAAAAAATKRCTTTARAGATGTTTATKATTGTATTTATGTGGCAGTTGCTGTGAAAGCTTGCCAGACGTTTTATTAGGTTTAACCTGCTTGTTAGATCTTTTTTCAGGTTTTCAACGTGGTTTGACCAGCTTAACTTTTTGTCGAAGGTTAGCCCTAAAATTTTTAATTTGTCGGCGTAGCCGAGTGTTGTATTGTTGAGTGTTATGGTTACGGGGTTGCATATTGTTTTTCTGCAAATGTGCAAAGCTTTGCACTTCGTGGTTGAAATTTTCGTTCCACTTGTTAGGCACCAATCATTGATATCCCTGTTTAGTTCGTTGAAATTGTTGCGCAAATTTTGGTCTGATTTGTATTTCGCTGTTATGTATAGATCGCCCGCATAAATGCAGTGCTTGAAGTCTTTGTGTTGAAGTATAAATTTGTTAAGTTTTTCGAAAGCGATTTGAAACAAAACAACTGACAGTGGGGATCCTTGTGGTATCCCGTTTTGCAGCGTGTAAGTTTCGGAAAAATGTCCATTGAGCAGTACTCGTAAACTTTCTCTTTGTTAAGAAGGCCGTTATGTATTCTACTATCTTTTTACTTATCATCCATTCGTGAAGTTGCATTCTAATTGTGTGTATGCCTACTGTGTCGAATGCTTTCTCGAAGTCTCGAAGGATATCACAGAAATATGGTTACTAGTTGATAGTGCTTTGTTTGTTACATAGTCTATAAAAGAGTGCATCCGTGGTGCTTTTGCCATTTTTGTATGCTAATTGATTTTGTGACAATATTTTCTTTTTATTCATTACCCAGGTGAGCCTGTTTGCTATTATTTTTTTCATCAGTTTACTGACACATGAAATTAGTGAGATTGGTCGGTAGCCCTCTAGAGAATTTTTTTCTTTTTCCGGTTTTGTGAGTGGAATAATCGTTGCCAATTTCCATTCCTGTGGGATGATATTCGTGTTTAGTATTTTATTATAGAGGTTTAGAAGCCTTCGTGTCGCGACTAGTGGAAGGTTTTTTATCATTTTGTAGTTTATTTTATCGTGACCTGGGGTATTGCCTTTCAGTGCGTTTAGTGCAGTGCAGTATTCTGAGAAAGTAATATCTGTTTCCATTTTTTGTAAGTCTTTGTTTTGTCCGTTGGTGATGTATCCTGTAGCATTGTGTGCATATTTGAGTTCAATAATATTTTCTGTCGAAGTTGCTGTCACTTGCATATGACGACCATTTTTTGGCAAAGGAATTTGCTATGTCCTTAGTTTTATAGTCCTGATGGTGTTTGTAGTGTAATTTCCGTATAATTTATTAACATGGTGCCATAGTTCTTCCATTGATGTTCTATTGTTTATTGAGCTGGTAAATTTAAAGAATGATTTTCTTTTAGCGGCTTTGGCTTGCTTCTTAAACATTGCATTCGCTTTCTTGTAGGCTATTCTATTTTCGCTAGTCATATTGTTTTAGAATATATACCAGAGATTTTGTTTGGTTGACCTTAGTTCAGTTAAGTGGTCGTTCCCATTTTCTTTTTTGTGGTGTGTTGTGGGTATGTATGAGGAATAGCTTCATTTGCGGCTCCCATTATTAATTTTCTGAGCTTCGAAGCTTCGCTATTTATGTTGTTAGATATGTCATAGTTTTTATACTCTCGCAACAAAGTTGCTAAACAGAGTATTATAATTTTGTTCACATAACAGTTGTTTGTAAGTCCTAAAACTAAAAGAGTCAGATGTAGGGTTATATATATCAAAGTGATCAGGGTGACGAGTAGAGTTGAAATCCGGATGTCTGTCTGTCCGTCTGTCCGTGTACGCTGTAACTTGAGTAAAAATCGCATTAGGAAGGGGCATATTTGGACGTAATTTTTTTGGAAAAGTGGGCGTGGCCCCGCCCCCTACTAACTTTTTTGTACATATCTCGAAAACTACTAT